CCCCAAAACCCCAAAACCCCAAAACCCCAAAACCCCAAAACCCCTTTAATAATTTAATTGTTGAAGTAGTTGTAATGACCTTAGTCTGGTTATTCTTAAAAGATGATACATTTTTGTTTCCCATCCGATGTCTTTCAGAAATTATGACTCGTCTGGCTAAAGATTAAGATTGAATCCTTACTTAGCTCTCTTAGATCTTCTCGACCTTTGATCTGTAATGACTGAACTGTTATTGGTTTTTCTTGAACTCCTCAGGCTCCCGTTAGTCAAAGGAGATACCTTTTTCGACATCTTAGTCAGCCGTTCTTGGTACGTAACTTCAAGCGAGTCAGTCATAATGCTTGTATTTTCATTCAGCTTCTCTATGTACTTTTGTTCATAAGGCTTGAGCTCATCTCTGGCTTCATCAATATTGAATTCAATTTCTCTGTGTTCAGACTCGATATCATTAATCTCTTTTTCAAGTTTGCGAATATGACTTTCAGTTTCACATATCTCATCTTGTGCCTTATCGATCTCTTTGATGTAGAATTCGAGTAAGTTCTGGTCCTGACGGCCAACTTTTTGAACATCCTCTAACTTTTGTGTTTCCTTCTTTATGGCTAGTAAATACGAGCTGATTTCATCATCGTAATCTTCTTCGATATCAAACACATTCTTAAGTTTTTCAATTTCTTCCTCATGATCTTCCTTCTGTTTAAGAAGGGAGTCGAATGTGTGTTTTTCTGCTCTAAGATTTTAAAGGGAAACTTACTCAAGCTGGTTCTCTAGTTTATACTCCTCCTTCTTAAATTGTTTATAGGACTTGTAAATATGCATTTTGGTGACTAAAAGGTTAAGCCAAGGGTACTTCAAATCTCTCAGGCAACTCCTAAACGAGTCTTATCTTTAAAGAATGGGACTAGTTTATAGCAACATGATTTTCAGCAAGCATAGCCACAGAAGTTTCAATTCTTTTGCTTTTTGCCAAGAGGGAGGTCACAAACTCGTCATGCGTCGTTAGATCTATGCAAGGTTATATCCTTCCTTAATCTCTACCACTCCCACGCTAAGTCAGACTTGCTTAATGCTGAAGGGTTAGTGTCAGCCAATGAAAATATTATGTAAACTTGGTCTGAAATCATGTAGATGAACTCACCTCTTATTTTCTCCAACAATTGGGCCTTTGAGCTGAAATATCTTATCATCAGGGTTGAACCTGTGCTTATTTCCTCTTTACTCTACAGAAGAAATTACCAAATTTTCTCAATAAATTCAGTATCGATGTGGAAGAAAGGAAATGGGTTAAAATAGGTATTTCGGGTAAATTTTGATGTCAAATTTTGAACTACACAATCTTAAAAATTGAAAAGCAGAACCCATTGTAGTTTCCTTTGATCCTTCTGGGAGTAAACCGGTGTTAAACAGAGACAAGAACTCCTCATATTATAGAGGTGACTCTTTAAGCATTGTATTGAAAGGAGGCAGACTTTGAATGTCAAATTTGCTAATTCTGAGATCAAGCTTTCAGGGCTTATATTTAGTCTTACATAATTGTGTTCATGATTTCAGACTCAGATATGCTGTGAAAACTTGTGGTTGGCATAGTCGATACACTTTTTAAGGTCCGGATTGAGGATTTAGGAGATGACTGCATTTTATTCTATTTTTATAATCTGTAAAGGGGTTTTGGGGTTTTGGGGTTTTGGGGTTTTGGGGTTTTGGGG